GGGCCGAGTTATTTTTTTTAACCCAAATGCTGGGTTCAGCCTGTTGGGTCATTTTATTGGGTTATTTTTAATATTTTTTTTACCTAGGTGCTAGGTAGTTTTTCTGTAATTAAGTTGCTGGGTCATTTTTAATGCTAGGTTATTTTTTCTACCCAATCGCTGGGTCAAAATAACCCAGCATGTATTCTGTCTAATATTTACCCAGCGCTGGGTTGCCAAATAACCCAAGTTGGGTTGTTTTTAACCCAGCATTTTTTAGAGTGAAAGATCAATCTCACCAGCTCCAGGTTTTGTTTGTTGCCATGGGCTGCAGCATAATGCACAGCACTGTATCCTTTAGTGTTGCACAGAGATGGATCAGCACCATTATCCAACAAATGCTCCACACACCTGAAAGTATCAAAATGCATGGGGCTCAAAGACCAAAACAACTTTCCTCAGTCACACTAACATTCAAAAGTTTGGGGTATGTAAGATTTTTTAAAATGTTTTTAAAAGTCGTCTCTTGTGATCACCAACACAGCATTTATTTTGATAAAATCAAGTAAAAACAGTAATTTGTGAAACTGTGATTTAAAATATTTTTTTTCTATTTTAATACATTTTAAAATGTAATTTATTATTACTTCAGTCTTCATTGCCACATGATTCTTCAGAACAGAATCAAACAGAAAATTTTGTAACATAGATGTTACATTATACAGTATAGCTGAAGATGCATCCTTGCTAAATAAATTGTTTGTTTCTTAATTATTTTATACAGTTTTTTCCAAACTACTTTGCTGACCCCTGGGAGACCTTTGAAACAATGTGCAGTACCTTAATGGACCACTAGGGGTCTGCACACCCCTAGCACTAAACAGTGTTCAAAGAGACAGCTGACATTATCTGCACCAATGATTCCACTCCAGATGGTCATGTGACACATGTGACATAAGTGTAAAGCATATATAATGTAATTATTATTTCAATAATTCAAGTGGAAAAAACAAACTTCAAGTAAGAGCTGCTAAGATTAGGTACAGAACTTCATTTACAAACAAAAAAACAAAACTTACAGGAAGGATTCCTTCTCCCCATCCTCTTGGTTCTGATGGGTGCTGGCATGGGGTCGGTCCATTCTGAGAAAGACACCAGAAATCAGTAATGCGGTGTACACCATGCACTATTATATTTAATAGTTGCAAGATGATGTGTGGATGTGTGTGAGTGCATTTCACCTGCAGAACGCAGTCGATGCAGCTGAATAGTGTAGAGGTGTACAGCCAGAGCGGTCACGCTCATTGACCTCCGCCCCCGCTCCTACCAGAACCACCACACACTGATACCTACCATTAGCAGCCGCATAGTGCAAAGGAGTCCTGGTGGAGAGACAAATTTAAACACTCAGCATACTGGTAAACCTAAAAAAAAAGGTTCAGCATACTTCATGCCAAAATCCTATATTAAAGAGAAGAAATTGCACGGAATACACTGAAACCAAAAACAATCAGCCGAAATACATTTTTTGACAAAATTATATAATTAAAAAGTTGACATAAAAACTGTATATTTGAGTGTTGATTATTAAATGTGATAAAAAATGATTGCAGAGCATCACTACTTGGCATAAGGAATATTTACATCATGCACACTTCAGACATGATCATGACAGAAATTGTGAGCATCCCATTTTATCAAAGAAAGAAGATTTGTACCTTCCAAACTTGTCCTTCTTATTCATGTCAGCTCCACTGCTTAAGAGCAGGTTGAGACATTCAACATTCCTGAATGAAGAAAATAAAGGATATGCATAAATAAATATGTTAAACATCTTTTTCAATTACATTCAGATGCTGGCTGTTGAGTCAGAATCAGCAAAACGACCTTGGTTGGCATTTGTGCGCATAAAACGCTGTTTTTATGGGACACCTGATGTAAAGTGGGCCAGTGGCTTTTTAAATAGCCCATTCTAAGTAGAGCTGCAGCCTCACCCTCCAGAGGCAGCAGCGTGTAGACAGGTCCTCCCAAAGTTGTCTGGGGTGTTGATGTCAAATCCGGCCGAGAGCACGTGTTCTTTACTCATTGACAACACAATGCTGTAGAGCTGACCTGCAAAAGTCAATGCAGTGTTAGTTAGAGGAAAACACTGTCACTTTGGCTGGCAGGAAATCGGTCATGTGAAAAGCAGTTAATGGACTGCTTTAAGACTTCAGTCTATTACTAATGAAGTAGCATGGAATTTGACATTTTTTGAAGTAACATGCACATAAATCTGGGACTGCAGATGCAAATTAGCTTTATAGCTAACTCTGGCACAACACTGTTGTTGTGCGTTGTCCCTGTACAAATAAATAGAAAAAAAATATATATATATACAGTGGGTACGGAAAGTATTCAGACCCCCTTAAATTTTTCACTCTTTGTTATATTGCAAAAAAAATATATATATATATATATATATGACAACTATTTAGTACCATATTATTACAATCACAGCACTTCCCTAAGGGACAAGGACATATACAATATAGTCTAGGGACAAAACCATTTTCATTTGGCCCTTGCTGGGAGAAAGTGTGCGTACCTGAGGAAAGTAGCTTACGACAACAGTCAGAGGACCCGTAGAGCACAGCTAAGTGTAGAGGAAACATCCCATGAATCCCTTGTCTGTACAAAGAAGACAAATAAGCAAATTATTTCATTACACATGCCACAAGCAGATAACATGCAAACTGAGAGGAGATTAGAATCAGTTTCCTTGTAAATGCAAATTCCTTTTGGAAGAGGGGTAAGACTGTGCCATTTTTAACTAAATTGTCAGAAATACAAGGAGAAATGAGATGCACATGAAACAAATACACCTAATTATATGTGAGGGTGCCTGCTATTAACTGAAATTTTCTCACATTTTCATGAAAAAGCGAGGAAATGTATAATATTCACAATTTTTTAATGTAGTGATCCAATCTTCAACATTTTGCAATGACTTGCAACATTATATGAATGTTTTTTTTCTTTCTTGTTACTTATTGAGCCAGTGACACACTTTAGCCCAGTGCTGATGTTATTAACTAAAACTAAATCATATGATAAAATGTGCAATTTTGTAATTACAATAAAGCTAAAATATAAATATTACATGAAAAACTGAATCTTGTAAAAATGAAATGTAGTCTTGGCAACTAACTGAACAAGTTAAAGTACTCTCTAAAGAGTACTAAACTTTTTAAAGAATTATTGAAAAAAAAAAAAAGCACATAAAATTACTTAAAAATAATAATAAATTAGAATATAATATAATTTATAATTAATACTAAAAAAACACTGCTTCAGCCCCACATACCATTTTGCATAAATGTAATTCATGATCATTAGCCACATAATTTGCTTAAGATTGTATGATAAAGACATTATGCAATTGTTATATTGTAAAAGATGACTTTACTTCACTCACTACAAAGCAAGAAAACAAAAACACCTAAACAAAGTCTCACTTAACAAACATGTTTTTACCTGGCTGTGTCAGCACCGTTTGTCATTAAGGTGCTGATAAGCAGCTCGTGGCCGTACTTAGCAGCAACATGAAGAGGAGTATTGCCATATCTGTCCACACAATCTATCTCCCCACCTGAGGAAACAACAAGTAGGGGTTAAATACTACAAAAGGAATTGGAAATTGAGTGAAAAAGGAAAGTAACTAACCATTTTGAATAAGGATCTGAGAGCGAGTGAAACGTCCATGAATGGCTGCCATGTGCAAAGGGCTTTTCCCTTCTTTACTCTGTGGAAAAGAAAAAATAAAGGAATGTCTTTCCTAAAGCTTAAAAACATTGAGAAAGGATACAAAAATTCAAGTCAAATACGTTTAGATCATCCAATCAGAGAAATGCATTAATAAACCACTCCCGTTTCCCTATCCAGACCTGCATGTTGACATCAGCACCGTTGTTGACCAGCAGCTCCAGGCAGAGAGCCCCGTTAGTGGACACGGCAGCCAGGTGGAGGGGTGTGTAGCCGCGGTGGTTGGGCTGGTTGACGTTGGCCCCACGGTTGACCAGCTCGTTGGCTACAGCCTCCTGTCCCGTGTAGCAGGCCACATGGAGAGCAGTGTTTCCAAAGGCATTAGGCTCATCAATCTGAGAAACAGACAGCATGGAATAAAATATCCTGCAAACCAAGGATCAACCATCTTTCTTTTCCGGGAAAATAAACCAAAAATATTGAGGACTCATTCTGCACTACAGATTTTTGCCACCATCTTGCTAGTACAAAATCATGGGTCATAGCTATGACATAACTAATACTGATCCTTTTTTATTGACAAGTCGTTCAAATACCCGCCAAAATGTTTTTTTAATTAAAATTATATTATGACAATAATAAAATATTCACATGAGGTGGGTTTCAGAAACAAATTATCATCACTCAAGTAGACCAAATCCATGGACATCCGATTCACTTTTTGGCCTAAAATTTGTTCTTTTAAAAACTAAACACTTTACATTGCAATCATTTTTGACCCATGGCCTAGTGACGAATAGCCAGTGAGGAACATTTATCTGGGTTAGAAAAGGTCACGTTTTCCAAATGCATCATGTTTGAATTAGGGGTCGACCAATTATCGGCGCAGATATTAAGCATTTTTATGATTATCGGTATCGGTCATTTTCAAAACCGATTCGCAGATAAAATAACTTAATTTTGAAACGCGCTATTTGGCTTTGATGCAGCCTGTCAGAACTCACCACTCTGTGGCCTAAAGCAATCTCCGCCCACCGCCCATCTGATTTGTTGGGAGTCACGAGTC